TTTCTAATCAGAAACGGGGGACATAATTCTTGCATTCTGTGAAAACGGGTAAGATTGGCTATAATATAATTATCTTAATCTTCACTATCGTTACTTTTTGCCCAGCAAAGTGGGTCCTTGCAGCTAGATTCTAGATTACTTAGAAAAACAGTCTTTTATATATATAAAAAAAACTATATTACATACAAATAAAAACCCAGCGAAGCGGGTCCTTGCAGCTAGTATTGTGAATAAAAACCTTGTGTGTCTTTCCATTTTGTGTTTATTGTTTTTCATGCACCAATTTTTTCACCTAGTGATAGAAATTTGAACTAATTATTAATTTTGCATTTTCCTTTCCCCCAAGGTCCATATAACATATATACCAAGTTTCATCAAAATACATCAAAGAGAATGAATTGGCTCTATACAGGTCTGAGTAGGGTAACTTTAATTATAACCACCCTGTACATAAGAATGGATTGTCAAAAAATCAAGGACTGCTTGTAATTTAAATCAGGAAAATGCTCAAAACTCCAAGCTTATAAATTTATAGTTTAGTTTTTATTCTACATTTACAAGAAATTTTTTATTTTAGTTTTATTTTAGCCTGTAAGTTTATTTAATGTAAAAATTTATACATACAAGGACTGATTTTAGGTACTAATCTGATTATTTCTGTAGAAAATGGTGATATAAAGATGAATTTTTATTGTTTTTTTTATGATTGTAGTTATCTTAAAATTCCTTGTCTTGAAGGAAGAAACAAATTATAAAATCAATACTATCTGTGAATATTGAATGGGTAGATTTTAATAATGAATGAAATGTTTTTATTTTTTATTTTATAGCTGGTTGGATNAATTAATGTTGCATTACACTTCCAAAAACTATAATATAGTATATATTGTATTATAAATAAATTGTATAATATGATATGGATCATAATATTATAATATGAATTTTATAATATTGTATTGTTATTAATGAAAAACATTACACAAATATTAATGAAGTAAATCATCATCAGACATTACAAATGAGAAAAAAATCTGTTTTGCTAATTCAACAAGCATTTATGTTAATCCTAGATGTTTAAAATCATAGAATTTAATATTTAGAACATCAAGTTATTTTAAATTCAAAATTTTTGAACAAAAAACAAGTAGATCAGTTACACAAATGAATTAATCAAGATACAAAAATTATAAATAAACAAATGTGATTAAAGAATTTATAAAAATAAATAAGCTAGTTAATTATTCTTATAGTCTTTGAATCTTAGCATAATTATCAACATTATTAATAAAAAAATGGCAGTTCTCTATGAACTTGCTTGCATCCAGGGATATAGCAGAAGTATTATAGTACTCTTGTGTATTGAGGGTTGTGCATTCAAAAGTTCAGGCAGGACGTCAAAATTGTATCATGTTATATAAATGAACATATGGCATTTTTATTTCTCCAAATCATAAATAAGTGAATTCATATGCACTGTTAATTAAAATCCTGCAAGGGTTGTTTTGTCAATTGCTAATGGAAGCTTTAGTACTGTTAATTATTTAGACTTAATGATTTTAAATGTGGAGATGACTGCACACAAAGGTTTTCCAGGAACCCACTGCTATACTATCCTTTCATATACTGAAGATCTCATGACACTATACAACACAAGCTAGCTGCTATTCGAAATCATTAGAAGGGCCTATGCCTATTCCTCCACAACAACTGACAAGACTGTTGAACTCCAACAGATTAGGATTATTACTTATCATCAGTGCTCCCATTAATAAGAACAAAAAGAAGTTGGAAGTCAATAGGGATAAATACAACATGCTTATGGTTACTGGCAAGAATAGTTAATATATGGTGCTACTAACTAACTGACCTTATTAGTAGCAAATTAGTAGGAAATTTAAGTTCATTTTACAAGATCAAACACAATTGTGAATATACTCTGTTCTGATAAAGATAGTCCATACTTTCAGACTTTATGCCTTAAAGTTGAATAAAAGGGGGAGAAAGTTTACTTCATAGATTTCACAACAAAATCAGTGCTTAAAAGAATTAAGGAACATTACCACTCAATGAGCTTAGTCCAATTTGGGGCCTTTATATCTTTCAAAATGGACCTGTGATCATGAAGTAACAGTTTACTGGGATAAATCTGTTGTTGAAGAAGTGTGTTATGAAAGCCCCTGTAAGGATATTTGGGCAGGTATATATTTATTTCCTTTCCAAATATCTAGCAAAAATTATGTTAATGATGCCATGTTACTTAACATTAATTGGAAACCTGTCTTAGGCAGTATGGACTTTATTTAGCCAATAGTCTATTAGAGTTATAGCATTACATACATACGTCATTACATCCAGTACCAATCAGAGGGGGTACAGGAGGGGCAGCTGCCCTAGGCCTTGCAATATTAGGGGCCTCAACTTGGCAATTCAATATGTTAGGCAAAAATATAGAAGGCAAAGTGATTTTCTAAATTTTAACATTTATAAAATTAAATTCTAAATTTCTGTAGGAAAAGTCAGAAAGGATTGAGAGAATAAGCCAGTCCTTGATTGGCTAGAAGTATATCACCCTGACTAACCCCAGGCTGGAAGGGATGTTCTTCTGGGCAATCACTACACACACCCACACTTAAAAGGTACCCCTTCCTCCATCTCTGAATCCCACCCCCAGCAAAAAAAAGGGCATAAAAGCAGAGAATGAGACCTGTTCAGTCAGTTCCGTGCTAACAGTGTTTTATGATATTATGTTAAAATATTAGTTGCCCTTAGTTGCCCTTGGCCTTGCATTTTCTCTAAAAGGCTCTGATTATATTTTTTCATGTACTACTAATTTTTATTTTTGTCTTTGTACATTTTAACAATAACATTTCTTCATATGTTAGTTTACTATTTTAAAATATACTTGCACTTATTAAATTTAAAAACACTTGTTTTTTTTAAGAACACATTCATTTTCTTAGAGTTCAATATCAGCTGTCTTAGAAGTTGACAATTCATTATTGGCTGAAGCTGATCTGAAGGATTTGGCTTTCATCATAAGCAGTAATAAAAACCTATATACAGTAGAGCATTGATTAACCGAATATCAATCAACCGAAACATCAATTAACTGAAAGATTTCCAGTCAGCAAATTTAAATTTCCGCTAGTGCTGTGGTGCTGCAATCTTTGACTATGTTTTGGGTTACTCCAATATTATTTTTGCGACCATGTGAGGGTACTTAAGAACATGCCAGGATTTGAATGAATTTCAACATGGGGTAGGTTAATATTTTTTTTTTGTACATAATCAGTTATCCAAAAAACTTGATTTTCTGAACAACCCCAGTCCCCAATTGATTCGGATAATTGATGCTCTACTGTAGTTAACTATTTTTTGTTTGTTGTAAGTTGTTTTGTTAAAAGCTTATAAAAGTTATTAATTGATTAATTGAAATAAATCCTGGACAATGAATTTAATTAAAATTAATACCTGTATGAAGAAAATACAGTTTCCAAAATTCATCCATTTACACACTACAGACACAATAATTCTATTTAACAGAGTTACATTTAAAAGGCTGACTTTGTCAGTGTATAAAGTTTGTTACATACTTTACCTGTGGCAGTGAATGTACACACACTCCATGTGCACTTGTCATAAACTGTAAGAAAGCAGAATTATTTGCAATTTATATGAAAACTTTTTACTAAACAAACTACTCCACTTTAGTTATGCTCTACAACAAATATTAGTACAGTATACATACTATGTACACTATAACAGGCATCTTGATTTATCTCTGGAAACATCATTTTGCTCAAACCATGGAAGCAATAAATTTATTTGCACCCTGTACTCACATAAAATCACCCTTTGTGGATCCTTCTTTTGCAGCATATGCATTGGCAACTCATTTTGGCACAGATGTGACTTAGGCACAACAATATGCTTCTTGAAGTAGTTTCAGCTGATCTTTTGTTCAATTGACAAGCTGTGAAAGATATTTAATTGGGCTCAGATTAGATGAATTCAGGACCCACTCCAGCACTTAAGCCAACAGTGGAGTATGCAGCTTGGTAAGATCTAGTTGGAATATAGCCTCTCCCTTTAGCTGTAGGTAGGCTACATGCGGAAATGGTGGTTTAAAAATATCTGGTAGCATTTTTCATTAACAGTCCCATCATACAGAACCAAATTCCATTGCCAGAATATCCAAACATCCCCACACTTACACAGTGGATGGAAACTTGATTTCTTGCTTCACATAGTTTTGGGCGAGTTCTTCATTGGACTATATGATGACTCTCTGCCTGATGTTTCCTTATAGGACTAAGAAGGGTGATTCATCAGAACAAAATCATCCACTGCCATTGATTTTTCCTCTAGGATACATATATCTATGGATCCTGGCCCATGTAACAGCTTCCTGTATTGAACTGATATTAACATGAGTTTCCACTTACACTTGTATAAGCTGTAATGCATCATGCAGCTTCTTGCTTACAGTTTGATGGGAATGAGATATAACTTGGAGTAAATGCATAGACCAAAATGGTCTATGCATTCACTCCAAGTTGTTTTTACCTTTACAAACCTAGATCAGCATTTCTTGACCAGATGATGCAAAATTTTATTATCTCTGGCAGTATTTGTGTATGGTCTACTGTGCTGTGTCCAGATGCGATGGAACCAGTTTCCTTATTAGTGACCAAGCAACATTCTGAAAATACTCATTCAAATACAATTCTCAAGAAATCTGCAGCATAATCATTCCATTCCATTGTTTCTGGAGTATCTACTCACATACTAGCAAACCTAACTTCTTTTTTTGCCAATTGTTTAGCGTTCTGAACATCCATAAAATGCACCAGATTTTATACTACCTTTTCTTTGCATATTGGTGACTGTATTAGAGACACAAAGCACAAACTTTGGATGGCCAGTTAATTAAGCAACAGCTATGAGTGCATGATGTGCATAAATTTATTGCCTCTGCATTTTGAATTTAATGTTTTCAGACATACATCAAGATGTCTTTTACAGTGTATGTACTGATGGTTATTGTAGAGCATACTCAAGTGGAGTACTCTGTAACTTATACAACAAATGATTCTGCTTTTCTTGCTGTTATGACTACTGAACATGGGGTGGGTATACATACATTTACTGCCATTGGTAAATTACATACACATAAGGTAGGGCAATTGTTGAGATATTACTTCAATCCACTCTTATTCTGTCTAGCCTTAAACTCTGTGTTCAAATAGCTAAAACAACACAATACATACATACTCATATCTCATCTCATGTATGTGGATGACACAAAACGCTACACATCCATACATGCACAACTAAATCATCTGTTAAATTTTATACCATTTATTCCAGATATAAAAATAGAGGTTGGTGTAGACAAATGCAAAACACTTCTGTCTTCAGAATTTCATTTTATATGTGAAGGCTTTGTATTCAGAAATGGAGACATCATCAAATCCATGGATGAGGACATGGTCTGTAGATACAGTAGAGCATCGATTATCCGAATCAATTGGGGACTGGGGTTGTTCGGAAGATCGATGTTTCGGATAACCGATTATGTACAAAAAAATATATTAATTTATCCCATCGTGACATTTTTCTCCGTTGCGTGTCGCTTNGCTTACGGGAAAGCGGCGCCGAACGTCACACGTACATGTTTAAAACGTGTGCCTCAACCTCTCTATTATCTTATTGAGCAGTGGTGATGTCTATGCAATTTGTTTGGTTTTCTCACAAATAATTCTCTTGGAGGTGATATCCAATTGCTTCTTATTTTTCCATCTCAATAACATGCAGTCTTCTTGAAGTCAATGCTTTTTCACTTTTAGCCACTTTCATTACTTTTATTGCTTCTTTGTTCTTAAGAATGATGCACACCATCAACTTCAACATATTAAACGTTGCTGTCAGATCCACCACATGTGTACAGTTTTCATGCTTTGTAATAAGTTTCTTCCTTTTAGGCTTTATTGTTTCCACTCTTTTCTTGGATTCCATGGTTAACAGGTAATATATATATATAAAGGTTCCTACCTGTTAACCATGGAATACCTGTTAACCAAAAAAGCCACTGTATATATATATATATATATATACAGTGGCTTTTTTGGAGGGAAAAAAGATGGTGGAACGCTCATCTCATTACTAAAAATATATTACATGCATCGTACACAAGATTCAGCACACAAGCATGAGCAGGACTGTCTTAATAATTTTGCTGCCGATCTTCTATACTCTATAGAGCGATTCAACACAGACCAAACATCAAATTTTCAAAAATTCTCTTAAAACTTTCAAATTATATCGAAAAAAGGTGGCGGAATGCCATTCCATTGTGTTCTATGACCAAAAAAAAGTGCTGTATATATATATATAACTCTAAAACACACTAAAAATAAAACAAAAACATGCTGAAAACAACATGCATAATGCAAGGGTGAAAGAGGACTTGAGTACATAACAGATGGCATTTATGCATCAAGTGCATTTTTCACTGCAAATTTCTCTCAAATTTACTGTTTGAACTCTGGAACATTCAAAGTTAGCCATTCAAAGTATGTGGCACGGGGAATACGTTCATAGACGACAAAGCGCTAAATGAAACAGCATTAAGCGAGATCATTTTAACACAGAGTAAATAGGGAAAGGGGAACACGCAACCAAAAATAAACAGATTTTTTCTTTAATTTTAAGTTATTTTTTATATTAATTTGCATAACAATATATGTTAAATAATGGATATGCACAAATATATGCAGACAGAAATGTAAATTTTATTTTTTGTGATGAAGGTCCTGGCTTCTCTGAAATTCTTGTGTTTTGCAATAAAGTTGTGTAGTTTAATTTGTCACTTTCTTTTTTTTTCCTTAAGCAAACATTGGTAGCAGAAGATCACATCCAGAATGCCTCATTTTGCTTTTGCGCTCCTTTCAAAATCTGGATCATTTGATTAATGATTTTTGGTTATTGTTACTACTAAACTTTTAATAAGGAAATCTGTAGCAAGTTCTTTGAGTTCTTCATTTTCAGAATCAGTATTTTCCACTTCTACATGAATTCCTTGTTCTGCCAGTTCTTGAAGGTCATTGTTGGTGAGAGCCTTGCCAACTGTTGTTAGTAAAGCTCTCACCAGAGACCTGCAGTAACTCCTCAATATCCTGCTCATCTACATCTTCTAGTCCTGCTGTATCGATTAGGTTGACAATTTGGTCAACCTAACGATATAACGATAGTCTCTTCTCATTGAGAATTCTTGAATACCTTCAGCCATAACTTCTTCCACACATGCATTTATCAGTTAATTTTTGCCAAGCCAAGTCAATATTTCCTATGGCATCCATGATGTTGTACTTTTTTTCCAAAATTGCACAAAACAAACATAGATTTAAGGGAAGTACAGTTCTGCAATGAATTGCCACCCTTTGCTGATTGGTTTGTGTTTGTAAATAATCATATTATATATGAATTAATTAAATTACATGATAATTTGAATCAGTTTAAATTTTGAGCTATTTTTTAAGGCTTCGAGCAGACCATGTTATATTGAATTAGTGTTAATTGAGGCAGTGTTAAGCAGGGTCTTACTATACATCAATTTTTTTTCTTTTTAATAGAGAATCATTCATAAAATATTGTATGAATTTTGCAACATGGGTGTAAATAATGCTCTATATTTATTATACATACATACATACATGTAATTTTATTTGTGTATGTATATAATAAAAATTAAATTATTCTGTAGTTAATTGGAATCAAAACTTCAGTTTTTTTATTTTATTTTTAGAATGAGTATTTAATATCATAATTGAATATTAATAATTTATAAATGATATATAAATTATATATACATTATTATATATTTATTATATTATTACAGAGGTGCCTCATACTTGGAATTTAATTTGTTCTAGACCATTAAAGTCTGAGTCAGTTTTTCTGATTAGAAATATGAATTAACCTGTTCCCAGACTCTAAACAATACACATTTCAATAAACATAAACAGCAATTACACATAAGTTAAATAAATTAAAACATGTAAACAATAAATAAAATATATAAATACTATATAATAAAATGAAAATTGCATTTACATTAGAGAGGTTGAGGCACACATTTTAAACGTGTAAACGTGTACCTGTGACGTTCGGCGGCGCTTTCCCGTAAGCCTAAAAGTTTGACAATGGTGTTTGGATAGTCGGTGGAATCACGCTCAACATTCCAAACACCATTGTCAAACTTTTAGGCTTACGGGAAAGCGGCGCCGAACGTCACACGTACATGTTTACACGTTTAAAACGTGCGCCTCAACCTCTCTA